TTTGATGTTGGCAATAATAAAAGTCTGCCATAACCCGGGGGGAGGGGGGGCAACAAAGAGTAGTTGCCATCAAGTTGATTTGGGACTGCTGGCAACTTCATGTGCTAGAGAGCAGAACTTCTCCATAGGGTTTGCCTGTAATCTTTATGGAAACAGACCACTCAACCTTTCTTCCATGGAGCTGCTGGATGGGTTTGAATTGCCTCTATTAAACACATTCAAGATTGTCATTAGGAGCCCAGGTGACATAGGGGGTTAGAGTTGGGCTGCTAACCACAAGGACAGTCGTTCGAAACCGCCAGCCATTTCACAGGAGAAAGACAAGGCTTTCTACTCCAATAAAGAGTGCGTCTTGGACACCCATGGGAGAAGTTCTATCTTTAGGTTTTCAGTTGAGCACAAACTGTTTATGTCCCTCAGGGACATAAAGATATCCCCATAGTAAGAATTCATGAAATGAATTGATAGGCTATCCAGTATGATCAGCCTCTCTTCTCTCAGATGATGGAAATAATCTAGAAAAAAAGATTTAGAAAAAAAAATTTGCATAGCAGATAATTGTGTGACTGTATATGGAGCCCATGTTTAATGCTTGGTACCCAGAAGGGATAATCACGCATGGAAGGCATGTTTCCAACTTGCATATATGATTGACATTACTTAAAGGAGCTTAATAAATTTTTCAAACATGTTTATTCTTTTTTTAAAAAACATTTTATTGGGGGCTCGTACAACTCTTATCACAATCCATACATCCATCCATTGTGTCAAGCACATTTGTACATTTGTTGCCATCATCATTCTCAAACATTTGCTTTATGCTTGAGCCCTTGATATCAGCTCCTCATTTCTCCCCTCCCTCCCCGCTCCCCTCTCCCTCATGAACACTTGATAACTTATAAATTATTATTTTGTCATATCTTACACTTTCCGACGTCTCCCTTCACCCACTTTTCTGTTGTCCATCCCCCAGATAAGAGGTTATATGTAGATCCCTGTAATCGGTTCCCCCTTTCCACCCCACCCTCCCTCCAGACATGTTTACTCTTTACTAATTGTTTGGGAAGGGGAATGTCCCTTTGAGTGGTGTTTCATTTATATTTCGTTTATCTCAGTAGAGCTTTGTGAACAATAGCCATGCCGTCAAACCAAAGTCACTGCCATGGGGTCCGTGCCAGGGCCTAGCAGCCCTGTAGGACAGGAACTGCCCCTGAGGGTTACCAAAATGGTAGTTCTTTACGAGAGTAGAAAGCCCATCTTTCTCCTGCAGAGTAGGTGGTGGTTTCAAACTGCTGACCTTGGGGGTAGCAGCCCAACTTGTAACCTGGCATCCCACACCTCTAATGGACTGCATCAAAGGTAGTTTGTGACATAAGAATAAAGGAAGAGGAGTGAATTTTTATCTCAGTGCTGGCTCTGTTTTCTGAGCATCTTTACTTTTCGCATTGCTCAGCTCCTGGAAAGACACCATTACATTATTACCCTGTTAGATAATAGTCTATATTAGCAATAACTGACTCCTCATCTGTGACAGCTAATAATCACCAAGGCACCGATTTGTTTTTAAGTCGTTATTGACAATTCAAGGTTAGACCCAAAAAAAGAAAAGAAAGAGAAAAAAAAACCTACCATTGAGTCCATTCTAATTCATAGAGACCCAATGTCACTGTGGGCCGTAAACCTTTATGGGAGCAGATGGGCTGTCTTTGTCCATAGAGCTGCTGGTGGGGGTGAAACGCCCAGCCTTGCAATTAGCAGTCGGATGCTTACCCTACAATGCCACTAGGGCTCCTCGTTAAGGTTCAGAGAGGAAGGGGGTGCCATTTCACATTTGCCTTTCAAAAGGGATGGAGAAAACCTGCTGCCAGGTGGTTGGAGGTGTGTTACATACCCACCCTCCACTGGTCCCTTCATGAGTGACCTGACAAGTGAGTCCTTTGGGGCTTCATTGTTCAGGACCATGAGAAAATTGGGCTTTTTCCTGACTGAGAACACATATGCTCTCAGACTGTTCTAGTTTGGCATGCAGCAGCTCAGGATACTCAGAGTTCATTTAAGAAACCCAGACATGCTAATCAGGAAAATCTGAAAACCACGACTTAATCATTCAATCAATAATTATTTATTGACCTTCTGCTAGGTGCAAAAAATAACGGTGAATAATAATAACCATTCACATATATTAAGATCTTGCTCTACATTGAGGATGCTAAGTAGTACATGCTTTACATTCAGCATTTCATTGAATCCCCACATGTCACTAGGAGGTGGACAGTCTGGTCATTTAGAAAAGTTATGTAACTTGCCAAGATTAGGTGGCTAGAAAGTAGCTGAGATCCTGACCACATAGTCCAATCTCTTCATGTTACACTCTATATCCTCCAAATGTAGAATGAAAACCATGTGTTCGTGAAACATCATCTTCCTGGGGGGTCCTGGGCAATAGTTTCACTCTGGGTTCATTCTCAAGACCTTGATAGAATCCCTGCCTCTTTGGGTTTCTGTCCAATAAAATCAACTTAATTCAATATTTATTGGATTCTAGTACTGCAGGAGACTGTCCTAGCTCCTAGGACTCAAAAATACATAAAACATCCTTGCCCCTAAAGAACTACACTCCGAAGAGGACACACATGTATGTAGCCAACTCTAGTACAAGTGTGTGATAATTGTGAACTAAGTGTCATGGAACCAGAGAAAGAAGAGAGTGAGCCTAAGTCATTCTTGCTTGGTGGGGGTGAGAGAAGGAGTCCAAGAAGCCTTCTCAGAGGGTAGCGTTTGATGTACCATTGAAGGATGAGTCCAACTCCTATATGTTAAAGAGTGAAGACATTCCCAAGAGAGGCAAGAAACCAAAAGACATAGTCGGGACAACTTGTCTAGCGTGACTGGAACATGGGATATGAGTTGGGCAGGGGAGGACATTCACATGAATCATATTCGGTACATGATAAGATAGACACACACACCAAACCAGTTGCCATTGAGCCAACTCCCATGAATAGTGAACTTAAACATCTGACCTTTTGGTTAGCAACTGAATGTGTTAAACATTTTTACCACCCAGGGACTCACCGCTGACATCAGATAAATAATGGCTGAAAACAGAGATTATCAGAAAGAAGTTTGTCTGTTTTTAATTGACTTTTCAACTGTATGGATCATAAGGAACTGAGGGTAACAGTGTAAAGAATGGAAATCTGGGAATAATTGTCCTCACAAGGCAGTCCATGTTAACGCAATAGGGAAATCCTGCATGGTGTCAAATCAGGAACGGTGTGTGTTGGGCTGTATCCTTTCATGATCCTTATTCAGTCTCTATTCTGAGTAAAATATTTCTAAGACCCTGGACTATGTGGGGAAGAGCACAGCATTAGTGTTGAAGGAAGACCCACACCTGTGATATGAGAGTGTCCGAGTATCTTGCTTACTGAAAGCAAAGAGGCCCTGAAGCACTTGCTGATGAAGATCCAACGCCTCTGCCTTCGCTGTGGCTGCGATCGGCATGAAGAAGAATGCCCTCAGCGGCCGAGGCTCAGCATCCGGACCAAAGGCGAAAAGATTGACACTGTCAAGAATTCCATCTTATTTGGATCCACAGTCAAAACTCGTGGAAGCAGTTTACGTCTTTTCTTTGCTGATGTAGTTTTACATGTGTGCATTTTAAACGCTGTTTGGCCATAATTCTAGATGCACACTTCTAAGGCATGTACCTTACACGTGTGACTTCGGTGAACAGAATTTCGCATGTACACTCTATGTTTACTTCTGAACTCTCTGCTTGACACACTGCTTACATCTGTGCTTTCAAGTTACCGAAGTGAATAACAGTAAAAAACAAACCTAGGCCACCTCCAAAACAAGCAACCCCAAAACTCATGGAAGCAGCAGTAAAGAGACCAAATGACATATTTCATTAGGCACATATTATGCAAAAGACCTCTTTTAAATGTTTAAAAGCAAAGATGTCACTTTCAGGACGAAGGTGTGCCTGACCCAAGCCAAGGGATTTTGAATCAGCTCAGATGTGTACAAAAACTGGACCGTGAATAAGTCCAACCAAAGAAGAAGGGTGCCTCTTCGTTCTGGTGTCGTTGAATGTTGCCTAGGGTGTGGACTTCCAGAAGAATGAACAACTCTGTCTCAGCAGAAGAAGAGCCAGAGTGCCACTTAGAAAGGAGGATGGTAAGACTTTGTCTCGTGTTCATTGGACATGTGGTCAGGAGGGCCCAGTTTCTAGCGAAAGACATCATACGTGGTAAAAGAGAAGGTCAGCCAAAAAGGGAAACCCCCAAGGAGAGGGATCGACCCAGTGACTACAAGAATGGGCTCAAACATAGCAATGATTGTAAAGATGGCACAGGGCTGGGCAGTGTTTTGTTCTGTTGTACAGAGTGTCACTGAGTCACACACATACACACACACACACACACACACACACAATCATATAACCTTATCAGGAGCCCTGGTGGCATCCTGGTTCTACATTGGCCTGCTAACTGCAACGTTGGTCATTTGAAACCACCACTCCTCAGGGGAAAGAGGGGGCTTTCTCCTCCCCTAAAGGGTTACTGTCTCAGAAACCCACAGGGGTGGCTCAAGTCTACCCTGTAGGGTCTCTATGAGTTGCCATCAATTTATAATGTATATTCATCATAATGTGATCCAAAACCAGTGAGTTTGGTTTTGGATTACATTGTGATGAATATACATCATTAATAAAGGAAATAACGGCATACTTATAATTGTGTGCCCATGCACACCTCTTGCGCTGACGCACGCATTGGTTGCCATAGTCTGTATGATGAATCTCCACACAAAGAACTGAAACAAGTGAGTGCTCGGGGCTTTTCGATATATCCCCACTGGAGTCTGAGCATGACAGGCCATCTGGCCAGCTAAAAGTACATCTGCAGGGACTTTTAGGAAGCAGGGGGTTAGTTAGACTTGGATGCAGAGCAGGTGATCCATGTTTTAACTATAGAATTCTTCTCTTTTAGGTGCATGGTTGGCTACGTGAATGCCAGCTTGTCTGTGTTTCGAATTTCTGACTTTGAAAACCGATCTGAGCCTGAGTCTGATGGCAGCGAGTTCTCGGGGACTCCTCTCAAATACTGCAGGTGAAGGTGCCCTCAGAGCGTGGCTCTGCCTGAGCTGGGTTGGTTGTTCCTTGGGGACGTTTTACCAGTTTGCTGCTGCCCACTGAGTGGGTCTTAAGCAACCGTTTGCTACAAATGAATATAAATGAAAATTATGCAGGAAATGTTTAACCTCTCCTGTGCCCAGGCTTCCACCCAAGCCAATTAAAACGGAATCTGCCAGGTTGTGACCCACACATCAATATGCTTAAAAGCTCCCAGATGGAGTCCAAGCTGAGAATAGCTGGCTTAAGAGGAAAACTGAAAATAGATGTAGTGAAGGCTTAGATCCTTGCTCCAGCAACTCAGAGACAAGTAGTCCAGGTAGTTTGAGTGACATCTGGTGAGGGCGCTTCTCTGTTCTCCCTTGTGCATAGTCGATGACGTCATATTTCCAAATTCACAAGCAAAGGAGCTCAACCTGTTTCAGGTTTGACCCCAGCAGCTGGCACAGCGCACGCCTGCATCCTCTCTCTCTCTCTCAGGCTCTAAGAGAAAACTAAACTCTGCCTTTTGCTGTCTGTCTGAATAACAATAAGTGAAAGACTTTGGTGGGCACCTCCGACAGTGTCGTCCCCATTCTTTCAGTTAGGAATCCGATCAGCCGTCACCCTTCATCCCTGTGACGGGTGCTAAGACCATCAAGGTCTCACCGAGGCTACTTGAATTCAACTGGCGTCTTTTCTCATAATTTGATATTGCGAGCATATTTCGGATTTCTTACCACAACATTCTATACACTCTCTGTAATAGCGCATGAGGAGAGTTGGCCGTAGACCCCTGTTGTTTTTAGGTGCCCCTGAGTTGGTTCTGACTCATAGCGACCCTGTGTCTAACAGAACAAAACCCTACCTGGTCCTGTGCTGCCCTTACAATTGTGCTTATGTTCCAGCCCATTGTTTCAGCCAGTGGGTCAATCCATCTCCTTGAGGGTCTTCTTTTTCGCAGCACCTCTACTTCACCAAGCACGATGACCAGTGCAGGGCCTGGTCTCTCTTGACGATATGTCCAAAGTAGACGAGACAAAGTTTCATCACTCTGGCTTCTAAGACACTAAGACCTAAAGAGGTTCTGTTGACTCTACAAGCCATGTGTATGGAGAACATACACATCAGTGCTCTCTGGCCATGGATATGGGCAGTTCCCTGAGAACAAAAGAGCAGGCAAGAAGCCAGGTGGCCCCTACTTCTATGCAATGATAGCAGAGAGCTACATCTAAAACACAGGTATACAGAGAAGTAAACATCAAAAAGACAGAAAAAGACTATTGCAGAAGATTAAAACAACATAATTTACATGACTGTCCCACTGGAGAGAGGACAAGTAAGCAAGCTGCAGTGTCCACTAGAGAATGTAGTCATCGTCATCTTCAAAACATTTTCTTTCTACTTGAGCCTTTGATATCATCAGCTCCTCTTCCTCCCCACCCCCACCATGTACCCTTGGTAAATTGTAAATTATTATTATTTCATATCTTATACCATCCACTGTCTCCCTTCACCCACATTTCTGTTGTTTGTCCTCCTGGGGGAGGGGGCATTAATACGTTGATCATTGTGATTTGTTCCCCCTATTTCCCCCGACCTTCCCCCTACCCTCATGGTATTGTTGCTACTCCAATTACTGTTCCTGGGGGCAGGGGGCTTATCTGTCCTGGATTCTGTGTGTCAAGAGCTCTTATCTGTACCAGTGGACATGCTCCAGTCTAGTCAGATTAGTAGAGTAGATCTGGAGTCATGATGGGGGTGGGGAGCATTAAAGAACTGGAGAAATGTTATGTGTTTCATCAGTGCTATCCTGCACTCTGGCTGACTCATCCCTTCCTTGTGATCCTTCTGTGAAGGGATGTCCAGTTGTCTGCAGATGAGTTTTGGGTCTCCACTCTGACTCCCCTTGTTTGAATCTATATGATTACTTGTTTGGGGTCTTCTGATGCCTGATACCTGATCCCATCAACACCTCATGATCACACAGGCTGGTTGCACTGCTGAATAATTTTAATGAATTGATTGATATTAAGCATGTTCTCTACCAGAGTATAGTTATATTATAAATCAACAGCCCAGAAGATGAATATAAAAACATTATATGTTTAAGAGTTTAAAAATACACCCCTAAACTAGTAATTCAGAAAGGAAACAGCAATTAGTAAATAATCAGAAATAACTGACAATTTTGAAAACAACTTATGTAAGGCAGGTCTTAGAGGAAAACTATACAGTCCCAAAATATTTTTTGCAAGTAAGCATCTGGCTCTAGACATTAGGGTACACAGCAAGAGAAACCTAAGGCGAGTAAGAGGGTGTCTGTAACTGCAGGGGGAATAGCAGATGTCGAGGAAAAGAGGCAGCAGTGAGAATCAGATAAGAGGCTGAATGATCAGCAAAGGCAAAGGAGGCTGTATTAGTCTAGGTACTTTGGAGAAACAAATCCACAGCGACTCATGTATGAGAGTTTTATGTAAAGAAAAGGTGCATCACGAAAACATCCCAACCCAATGCTGCCCAAGCCCACAAGTCCAACATTAACCCATTAACCCAACACCAGTCCACAAAGTCCTTCACCTCACAAAACAGAGGCAATGATGCCGACTGCAGGAGGAAAGCTGTCAGTGAACGAACAAGCATCTCAGCACTAGCAGCGGTCTCCACACGGCTGCTCCAGCACCCAGGGCTGCATCGGGATAGATCCATGCGGCTTCTCCTTGGGGATGTCTTGTAGGAAGTCAATCTTGCAAGCTGATGCAGGGAACTGCTAAGGCAGCTGCACCCGGTGCAACCATCACAAAACAAGAGACCAGAGAACTAGAAAGGCGATGCTTCACCACCCATTTATCCCTCTGCCTTTCAACCAGCCCCACATGTGATTATCGGCCAGGCTGGCACAATTAACTAACTCAGAGGCTATCTGAAAACACTTAAGAAGGACAAATTTGGGGTGAGAATAACTCAGCAAATGAAAGGAAGACACACATGACAGCATTTTATTAAGAAGTCCTTCAAAAAAAAGTATCACCACATAATTATAGACCTTAAAAGATTGTAGCATTAGATACATAACATTATGCTTATAACGTCTGTGGAAAACATAAACCTCAAGACTAAGAAGTAAGCGGGAATTGAGGATGGTTCAGTAGCCATTGGAGACATGAAGTCAGCAGTGAAAGCAGTCTCCCTCCATAGGAAATCCCAAGCCTCCAGACCCCAATAGTCAACAACCAAGTCATGTGAGCAACAACACATTTTAGAGAAACACTCATGGGCATTGTTATAAAATTACTAAGTATGATGTATGTAAACGTCAGTACTGCAATATATAAAAGCATAAGATACTGGGATCAAGTTGGTTAAGCCTAAAAATACAAGGGCAGAATTGGTTACGTGTTAAAATATCAGCAAGCAAAAAGGAAGCTACCATCATTCCCATTGAAGAAAACGTCAAAAGACACAAACAAGCATTTCAGTGAAGAGGAAATGTATGTAACAGATACGGCTTCATGCTCAACCTCATTTGTAATCTAAAGGAAGGGAGGCCACAAGGGGATATATGTTGATCTGCATTTGGTCCACAGCAATTCAGAAGGGTTTGCAATCCTAGGGATGGGAAGGAGTGTAAATCGTTCACATCGCTAGTCAGAATAATGCCAACATCACTTAAGAAAGACTTTCGCATTTTCTCAGATGGGTGATTCTTTGGCCGCCCTGTGCCCTAGCAGTTACTTACGTTTGTATCCTAGAGAAATGCATGCATGCAGTTAGTAGGAAACACACAAGAATGTTCACACATCATTGTTCATGATAGCAGAGCAAAGTGGAACAACCTAACTGGCCATCAAGAAGAGAATGTTTAAATTAATAAATTGTATCCATGCCATATTCTATCATTGGGGAAAATTTTTTAAATGCTGTGGAGTTGATTCCAACTCTTTAGACAACCTTATGTAACCTAGTAATGCTACCCCATATGTTCCCAAGGCAAATAAATCTTTATGGAAGCAGGTGGCCACATTTTTCTCCCTTAGAGCAGCTAGTGGGTTTGAACTGCCGACCTTTCAGTTAGCAGCCAAGCCCTTGAACCATTGCACCATCTGGGCTCCCTTTTTTCAGTCTGTTATAGAGAAGTGAAAACAAATCAGCTACATACAACAGCATGGATGGCTCTTAGTGGCCTGATTGTTAACTACATAAGCAAACTTCAGAAGAATGTATATAGTCCAATGCGAATGGCAGAGATAAGGGAATCAGAAATATGAGCGTTTGGAATGTCATTTTCTCCTGTTTATTTGTAGATACCGGGACTACCGGGACCCTCCTCATTCCCTGGTGCCCTATGGCTACACACTGCAGTTCTGGCACGTCCTAGCAGCTCGACTGGCGTTTATCATTGTGTTTGAGGTCAGTTTTCTCAACTTGGCCCTTTATTTCCTTTGACATAATAAAGTAACTAAGAGAAATTAATAAATATGAGAGAATGGACACTTTCAGTGTGATGATCTGCTTCAAGAAATCATATAATAATAATAATAGAGAGATGCTTTTTTTATCATTCTTCTCTTCTCCATCAGTGACACACTTAAGTATTTTAAGAATTATTTAAAACTTCCTCATTGATTGTTCATGGGAAAGTGGTACAGATAGCTAAGCACTTGGCTGCTTGCTGAAAGATCGACGCCTTGGAAGACAGGCCTGGTGAGCTGCTTCCCAAAGGTCGCAGTCACAGCCACCCTGTGGAGTAGTCCGACTGTCACTCAGGGTGTCTTCATGAGTTGAACTGACTCAGTTGCAACCAATGTAATGCCCTAGGGCCATGGTTCTCAAACTTTAGGAAAAGTGCACCCACCTTGTTTGCCATTTGGTTTTCACAAGAACCGCCACAGATGAGCCTCATGCAGATGTTCCAGATCCTTGTTTGGAAATTGGTCAGATCTGGTTGTGTGTTCTCATGGCACTCATTATATTCAAGCACACAATAACATCATCCTTTCATCTTTCAAGGATTTGCTATTTAAAATAGCTTACACTTCTCTAACTCCAGTCAGCAATGGAAATCTCATCTCAAATGGAAATTTCATTTCTTTTCACATATATCAAAGCTAAGGTTACCCCTTACCTTGAATTAGAAGGTCCCAGTGCCTCTTAAGACTTCTTCATTGTTGCTTTTTCTTTCACACAAAGAAGTAAAGATAAACCAATATCCTCTTCACAATAAATTAGAGGACCTTCATGTTCCTCAGTCCCATCTTTAATGAAAAGATTTTAACCCACCATTCTCTTAATTTTTTTCCAAAAATGTTTTAAGTATTTGCATTAAGCTACTATTTGAATTTTCAAGTAACTTTATATTCCTGATCATATTATCATCAGATTATTTTTAAATGCTAGAAATTCTTTTTACCTGGAAGATCAGACCTAATTCACCAAGTTTTGGATAAAATTAAGACTGCCCAAAAGTATCATTTGTGCGTAATTTAGCTTTACTTAGTAATTTGGGGTTGTAGGGGCCTAAAATTGTCTTTCGGTATCTTCTTGGTCATCAGCAGAAGTGATAGCTATTGGTCCCAGCTACTAGGACTTAAGATGCAGAAGTGTGGCAATTAGCGTAAAACAAAATAGGCATTGTTTTTCTAAGATTTATCACTTCCCTGGGCCCTTTGTCAATTTTTTACAATAAAAATTTATACAATATTTGGCAACCTAAAAAGCATATTTCAACGTGTTATAATTTCCGCAATAATGCTCATCTTTTAGAAGAGGGAATGGAGGATCAGAGAAGCTGTGTGACTTGACCTCAAGTGAGCAGATGTTAAGAACAGACCCTACTAAGCAGGGATTCAAACCGGGCTTTCTGGTTTCCCTGTAGGCTCTCCTCTAAACTCTTTGACCATTCTTTTTTTCCTGAATCCTCTCTAACTGGTGCTGTCAGAGCAATATCAGTCCTCACCTACACTGATGTTCTTTCATTATTACATGCACCCCCCCTTTAGTTTCCTCCCAACTTCTAGGTACCCCAGACTCAAACCCATTCCCATTGAGTTGATTCAGACACATAATTACCCGGTATAGGGCTTCTCACGCTGAAAATCTATGTAGGAGCTTCCATGGAACAGCTAGTGGATTTGAACAGTCAACCTTGAGGTTAACAGTTCAATGCTTACCTGAGAGTGCCATCTGGACTCCTTTGCAGATACTCCAGTGGCTCCAAATCCTTGGAGTGGGAGAAATACCTGAGCTGACTCCCAAGTCTCTTTAAGCAAAGGATGGACAATAGACCTGATTCTGTTGTGTTCTCCTCTATGTTTGTAGCACCTCGTGTTCTGTATAAAGCACCTCATTTCATATCTGATCCCAGACCTCCCAAAAGATCTAAGGGATCGAATGAGAAGAGAGAAGTACTTGATTCAGGAGATGATGTATGAAGCCGAGCTGGAGCGACTGCAGAAGGAACGAAAAGAAAGGAAGAAAAATGGGAAAGCACACCACAATGAGTGGCCATGACCAGGTAGGGGAGAGATGTACTCCTTGTCTGGAACCACTGCAAGCATGGGAGGGGACACCTTCAACTCCTTGCAAGAAGAGTGACATTGTTTCACTGCTAAGGGTCAAATTAAACTTCTTCAAAGTGTTGGAAGCCAGCCTGGTTCTTCCTTTATTATTTGCAAATTTAACTTGATCAGCCCTATCCACACATTTGCTGTAACTCTTCTCTGCCTTCATGAGTAAGCCAGACTCTGAGCTAGCAGTCAGAACCTCCACAAATTAGCCCAGATGTTCCCTGAAATAAACCTTTCTCTTTCTCCTACTCCAATCAGAATGTTCTTTTTAACACCCCAGGGTAACATACCCCTTCTTTCTGGTTGACATCACCCTTTCCAATTCCCCAAGATGTCCTTCCCTCAGTCACCCACTCATGTTTGCTCCCATGAGGGTACCACAGACTGCTCAGGCCATGTAGACTTGCTCCTTCTAAATATCTCTGACTAATACTTCCAGCAGCCTATATATTAACTCTCTTAGCCTGGGTCTTCTAGAGAAGCAAAACCCGTGGGGAGCGGGAGCCGGCAGAGAAAGATATATTCCCCCAAATAAACCGGAATTGCTCCGAGTGGACTGGAGCTTTCATAGTAGCATTTTTCCTTGTAGGTGAGCATTGAGCAACTCGGTCTGAGTTAGTGCACCCAGTGGCATCACCTGGGAAGTTTCTCTCTGGTCACAGTGAATTTGTTCATAAAAGCAGTTTCGCTCAGACTTCGTTTTTTATGATGGCCGATTTAAGAGAACTACATGTACCTGTGAGATTTTGTTTCCTGCTCGGGAAAAATGTCGCCAAGACTGTCGTGATGTTGAACACAGCTTAGGACAGCGCTATGGGAAAAACTCAAGTGTCCAAGTGGTTTTCCCATTTCAAAAAAGGTGAAATGTTAATTGATAACAAACCTCCTTCTGGATGTCCATCAACTTCCCAAATGGGTGAAAATGTCATAGTGCATTTGGAGTTCATTCCACCAGGTCAGACTGTTAGTAAAGCTTTCTATTTAGAGGCTCTGAAAAGAATGTGTAACAGTGTGCAACAAAAAAGGCCTGGTTT